GTACACACCTTGAAGCCTGGATTCAGATGTCCCATTAGTGCTAGCTAATGTTAGCATTAGGAAAAGTGTATGAACGAGGCTTGGGCAATATTTGCTCGTGTTTATGTTGAATTTGTTAACCAGCGCAATTTTGTTAAATTGTATTAAGCATTGCAAAATACCAAATGTATCTAGAGGAAATATGTGTTAAAAACTGTTATTTAATGCCTCCATCTGTATATTAGATGGTGCATTGAACCTAAAGCCCATGGAGAGCCCATGGAGAGGTGGCAGCCTCTTCATGGGCTGCCACTTCATTGTTGTGGAGGGGTTTGAGTGTCCCAGCGAGCCTAGGAACTATGCTGTCTGGGGCTTTATGCCCCTTGTAGGATCACCCAAGGCAGGCAGGTCCTAGGTGAGGAACCAGGCAAAGCACAGCCTGAAGACGCATTATGATGAGAAATCATAAGAGGCAAGTCACTGGGGCCCCACCCTGGAGCCAGGCCTCAAGGTGGGGCACATTAGCCCCACCTGGTGGCTATTTCACCCGAAGAGGAGACATGGGTCCCTCTTCCCATGGGATCACCACTCTTGGAGGGGCCACAATGGTCAGTTGCAGTGTGGGATGAGTGGTGGCCAAGGGACGATATCCCCAGGAGACCCTGGCGATCCAATCCTCGGGTGCAGAACCTGGTTCTTGGGATGTGGAATGTAACTTCTCTGGTGGGGAAGGAGCTGGAGTTAGTGTGTGAGGTTGAGAGGTGCGGATCTGTCCACTAACCTGATGGCTCTGATGGTGAGGGAGAATGCCAGTCAGACTTGGCAGGCCCAAACATGTTGTGAGGGTCTGCTGGGAACATCTGCAGAGTCTCCTGTGAGACAACGCTTTAACTTCCATCTCTGGCAGAACTTTGAATACGTTCTGGGTGAGTCTGAGTGGACCATGTTCCATGTCTGCCTGTCGCGTCAGCAACCCTCTAACCCAGGGGTATCAAACTCCAGTTCTCAAGGGGTGGTCTCCTGCAATTTTTAGATGTGTCTCTGATGCACCACAACTGAATACAGTGTGGCACATCTAAAAACTGCAGGAACCTGACCCTTAAGGAGTGACATTTTTCATTCTTATTGTTTTATCCTGGAATTTTGAACATTACTTTTTGGACCAGTTTTTATTTGGGACATTAAAAGTAACTGCTGTGTAGGAAATTCTCCTCATGTGAATGATGTTGAGCCAAACCTGAATCGGAACTGAATTTGATAAATCTGATGTCTATTACAATTTAGAGTTCAGATTACCAGGGTGCACCCAACAGATTTAAAGCTGAGAATTAGCACTTGGCCAAGTATTATTGTTATTTTATGTATTTTATTGTGTGTAATTTTATTTTCATAATTGTGTGTCTCAGTGTTGTATAAAGTATTGAAACCTCAGAGTGAAGTGAAAGTATAGGTACCTCTCCAAAATATGATTTTGGTAAAAGTCCAAGTCACTGAAATGTTACTTGAGTTAAAGTCTTAAAGTATCTGAAATGTCTTGTACTTAAGTATGGAAGTTACTGTAAAAATGGATGTACTCAAGTAATGTAATGAAAAGCATAAGTAAAAAGTAAAACAAGGCAAATGGAGTTTGAATGACATTTTTTATATTTTGATAAACTTGTCAAATACACTTAAAATAATGTACACAACCAAGTGCAGGCAAAATGAAACCTGCTAATAGATAAACCTGTAGGCATCATTTAGTTAAGAACATTAGGTGCTTTACCTAAACCACAAGATTAACTTAACCTGCTTTACAACAACCAGCTTCTTAGTAAACCCTCCAGGACAGAAAATACAAAGTTTTTGTAAGCCTTAAGTTTTCCCTTTCAGTAAGGTCAGTGCTGAAAATGAGAAAAATAAATAGTACAGAAAATGCGGAAAACATGAAGAAAAAAAGCCGTTACGATTAATCTACTTCACAAACTATAGGTGCACACAACTGGTCATTATGCAAAAGAAAAAGAATTGGGAGGGAAATGCAGCTTATTTGGCATCTGAAGAGGGAAAGCTTTTTAGTTAACTTGGTGTTTAATGGGAGAAGTGAAACAGACCTCCATGAAGCTGACACCCCACCTACTCAAATGATCCAGCAAATAGTCTGATTGGTCAGTGCTCCGTTTATGCCGTTAAAATGTTTGTTTGTGCAGCTTTGGTTTCCGAGATGTTAAAAATGATTTTTTTAGGCCATCTAACATATCTACTTTTTAAGATTACAATTACTGAAAATATTGAGTATGACTAAAAATTCACTAGAGAACAGTGTGTCTCTTGTAACAGCATGAATTTTGTGTCAGTTGGTCACAAGGCAAGAAATCTATTTCCATTAGTTTCTCAGGAGAGTTTGGATGTAAAATTTGTTGACTCTCCCTGAATGAAACTCTGACACCTTGAGGAAGGGGGAGTCCTAGAGAACGGCTGGCCGAAATTAGCGTTCATGAATCGGATCAACCTCGAGTTAGGCACCGCTCACACCGGATATTGGAATAGTCAAAATCCAAATTGAAAACAACTTTGCTGCGTTTGTTTTAAAGGCACAAACCTGCACAAACGGAGCACTAACGAACCAGCCCACTTTGGTTTGTTTTTGAGCAAAATGGGGGGATGGTAACTCTGGATGACCTAAAAAAATCATTTTTAACATCTCAGAAATCAAAGCTGCACAAACGAAAAATTTAACGGCACAAACGGAGCACTGACCAATCAGACTGTTTGCTGGACTTTGTGACGTAGGTGGGGAGGAGCGAAACCTGTGCATCCTATTGGTGGTGATGAACAAGCCCAGGCAAGCAGGCTTTGTTGCAGTCGATCAGTAGGTGGGATCAAAACTTGCATTTCTCTCTCGCTTTTTTGTAACCGGTAACTAAACCACACATTGAAAATGTATCGGAGTAAAAGTATGCAATTAAGTACTGAAATATAGTGAAGTAAAAGTGAAAGTTATCAAAAAATTTCTTACTCGAGGAAAGTATGAAGTACTCCAAAATATACTTAAGTAAAGTAGTGAAGTATTTTTACTTTGTTGCTATACAACACTGGTGTGTCTTCTACAATTGTCAATTTTATGGTTTATGTCACTTAAGCCAGTTCTTTAAATTCATCCAACTGTCTGTGTGTCATTTAAACACCCCACTGTGAACCTATTGGCCGATTTATCTAAAATATACAACACCTTCTGTACTGTCTTACAGAGGAACACAGTAGAGTTTGTGACGGGGGGTTATGAGGGATTTCTACCATAAACTGTATTCATTTGAATGCTATTCATCTGACGTTAAAATCACATTCTTAAGTCCAGTGACTCTTCCACGCCTGTCAGAGGAAGAGCAAGAAATCTTAGGCAATTCAATCTCTCAGAAAAGAGTCAGAGAATCCCTAGCCTCCCGTAAGGATGGAAAAGCTCCTGGACCTGACGGCTTCTATATAGAAGCCTGTTTGAACAAATAGAACATTAAGACTAGTGGAAGACATAGACACATGCCTCTGGAGGCATGTGTCTATGGAGGCATGTGTCTATGTCCTATATAGAAGCTGTCAGGTCCAGGAGTGGTAGGACCTAGTGGTAGGTGGTCCTACGGTAGGACCACTTACCAACATGTTTATATATTTGTTTGTGGTGGAGACTTGCCACCAACACCGAACCTGACGAACATCATTTCTACTTCTTAAGAAAGTCAAACCACCAGATATCTGCAGCTCATACAGATCCATCAGCCTTATTGGGGTAGATAGTAAGCTGTTCTCTAAATTACTTGCAATGAGACAGGAGAAGCTTTTGACTTTTTCAATAAACCCAGATCAGACTGGATTCATAAAAAACATTTCTCCTTCACAAATGTGAGAAGATTACTTAGTATAATTCAGTACTCAAACCAAACAAATTGTAGAGTTTTTGCTATATCCCTGGAAGCTCAAAAGGCATTTGATAAGACTGAGTGGAAGTATTGAATGTTTTGTAGAGTTTCGGGATAGTGGATGATTTTCTGAAATGGATCAAGATACTTTACAATTCCCCGTCAGCCTGTGTCATGACTAATGGTGTTCAATCTCCACCTTTTAATATATGTAGGGAAACTGGACAGGGTTGTCCCTTTTCCCTGCTTCTATTTACTCTTGCGCTTGAGCCCCTAGCAGTGGTTATTAGATTACAACAAAATGTACGTGTTAAAATAGAAAGCAAATGAATATTTAGTTGAAAACGAGGCTACGGGACTGGAGATGACCAGCAGCAGGGCTGGAAACCACTGAGGATGCAGAAACAGGTTAGTGGCTGGTAAACTAACTAAAAGTTCAAAAGGGAAAGCTACTCACCTTTTCAGAAAGTTGTATGAATCCAAGACACATCCTTGGTTCCTCAGGGAAGCTGTGGTGAAACGTCACCTCCAGGAGTATTGGTAGCAGGAGAAAAACTCATGAAATTTTAACTCTGATGTCGACAGGCCAAAGCAGGGTCAGAACCAGAAAAGCAGATAAACATATTTGGGGGTCAGGCAGGAATCTGAGGTCCAGGCACAGAAACAGGTCTGGCACGTGAAGGCAATCTTAAGCAGAAAAATCCAGAGACGAGGCAGAAGTTGAGAGGCAGAAACATGGTCGTGTCCAGAAAACAGAAGCCAGTGAAATATCTGATGTGAGCAAGGCAGCCTACATCCTGCCATGCCTATGTGGGCAGGATGCCTTCATAGGCATGTGCCTATGTCCTCCACTAGTCTTAATGTTCTCTTTGTTTAAACAGGCTTCACAGAATGCTGTCACCATCAGGTAAAACAAGTGGGCAGAAAAAAGGATTTGAAAGACCCCCAAAAAGTCTGTTGTTGGTCAAGAATATAAGGCAGTCTGTCTAGAAAATTAGTATTGGTCTAAAACTTTTACACAGAATAGTATGCCATTTTCTGTCTAATAATTTATTTTCTCTAATATTCCTTGATTTATACAGTTTGCAGCAATATAGGGGTAAAACAAAAAACATAATGAAACTGAAACATGTTCATTTATCCTTTGGCACACCCAAAGCATTGCTTTAATTTGCTCAATGAAAAAAAACATACAAAAGTTTTATTTTTCATCATTTGTGCTGTTAAAGAAACAAAAACGACAAGCTTGCATCCAGCAATTGTAACAAAACAAAACAACAAAAAAGCATTTATCTGGCATGCTTAACTGCAGATGTTTACTGAGAAGTGGTGATCCATCCAACAGCAGATCCAAAACCATCCACTAGGCGTGTAGCTTTATGTTTCTACATTCATTAAATGCTAAATCACCAGAGCTTCTCATCCTCGCCTGAATTACAACTGTGATGCAGTCTGAAACTGTGATGCTCCAAGTTCTGCTTTAGGGAGGGAGTCAGTGTAGCTACCATCAACAAAAAGTGCAGTCAGGCACACAAACTAAAAAAACCATCAGTGGAGTCATTCACCAGCAACAAGAATGCAATGTTTCTCTGCTCAAATGAAGTATCTGTTTTCTGATATGCCAATAATGTCTTGTTGATATTGTTTTCAGTAAATTAGGTGTGTCCAGTTTCAAGTGTGTCCAGAATGAAATTCAGAAACAGTGACAGTTTCTGAATTTCATTCAAATCTTCTTCTGGCTCTAAAAATATTTCTTGTAAAATAATTTTTGGACATCTTCAGCAGGTTTTCTTGCGACGTACAATGAGTTTAATACAAAAGTGAAATTTTATTAGCAATCATTGGTGAAAGTATTATTTTGCAATTTGACATATGTTTTAGGCACAAAAACAGAAAACTATTTGTACTGTCAAATGTCTCCAATTTTAGCCTGGAAGTTTTTTTTTGTTTTCTTTGATAAAACACCTTTTTACAAAGACATACTACCCTCCACATGTAGTCCCACTCCTAGTAAAGATGTGACAACAACCTGATAATAAAATCATCTTTTACTGCAGTAATCACACATTAGAAAATGTTTAAAACTATTGAAAAATGTAGCTGAGAATCAGAAGGACAAAAAGATTACCTAATAAAAAAAGAAGTAAAATGATTGAAAATAAAACCACAAGTCTACATTTAGAAATAAGGTCTTCCCAAGCAACATTCTAATTAATGTTGATCAGAGAAAATAAACATGATTTTGATTTTCTGAAAGAAGACAAGGATCCCGCCCCCACCCACTCTCCCAATTAATAGATGAAAAAAAAAGTAATAAAAAATCCCATTGAACTTTCCTTTACAAAAAACACATCAAAACTCGAAAGAAAAAGCCATCAGATCTGCCTGCTGACTCTAACCCTAATAAATATTAATTATTTGTCCTTTTTTAGAACAAAGTTGATTTACCAGCTAGAAGTGTAAATATTACAGTACCAAATGGAAAATAAAAACAAATAAATTAAGTAAATAATTTATGCTGCTTGCAGTAACATATCTAAGAATTTTCACATTAATTAATATGGAATTTGTTTGTATGAATGGATTTACTTAAGACAATAATTGTTGTAAATTGGTGCCATCTAAATAGAATTTAGATGATTGAGGTGGTGTAGCAAGAAGATCCTAGGTTCAACTCCTGTGTATGGAAATTGCATATTCTCCCTGTGTATGTGTGGGTTTTCTGGGTACTCATAATTTAGAGGGTAATTAGACTTTAAATTCTCTGTTTAGCTATATGGTTGTTTGTCCTCTCTGTGTTGCCCTGTGATGGATTGGCGACCTGTCTGAAGACCAGACTGGCTGACCGCTGGAGGTTGGCACCAGCTACCTTGTGACACCCTTATGTGCAAATGTGAAATAATCCAGTGGTCCCCAACCCCGGCCACAGACCGGTACCGGTTATTTGAGTCTAGAGGATCTTTTATTTAGAAAACCCTTTAACCGGATTTTCTCGGTTACGTCTTGTGCGCCAACATTGAGTCCACAAGCAGCAAAATGAGTCAGAAACATGAGAAGGATTTATCCCGGTAGGTGATTCCCACATTCCAAGGCCGCTCTGCATGATATGGTGGCCGGCTCGTTAATGAAGCAATGAAGCTTCAAACTGCTTCTCCAGATAGAGACCAAGCACCCTGTGCATAAGCAACACTTCGGGTGTCATTTTCTCTCATCACTCCCAGATGGGACCGTCTCATTGCAGAGAAACGAGCTCAGGACTCCATTAGTCGTTATCGTGAATTAAAGTAAAATGTTCGATTTTGTGGCGGATTTGTATCCTATTTTGAAGGGATATGTAAATGTTACCAAAGCGTTACGAGTGGCCGAGATGAGAGGAGTGCAGCTTGTGATTCTTAAGTCTGGTTCACACGGCACGATTTAAGGATTGTCGCTTTCCAAACTTCTGTGACCTCACACGACATAAAAGTCCAACAGGTTTGATCGGTTCGTGTGTCCAGCCAGACGGCAGGAGCAACACACCACACACCAACCGATTCCACTCACGAACATCCCGATTCCAGAAGCAAATCCAGTAAAACCCCAAACATACCATCAGTGAATTTAGAATAATCAAACATGGATGACGACGAAGAAGCAGTAGTGATAGCTTGTGGACTCATTTTAAGCGATAAAAGGCGAAATAAAAAGAAAAGGCGTTTGACAAAAGGGAGCAGCCACTTTGTTTGCTGCACTATGATTTGGAGGTGAGCTATGTTTTTTCATAGTTAACATTTTTAACTGAATAAACATAACCACATATAATAAACATATATAAAAATGTCTTTTACATTTAGTAAAAAACATTTCCACATTTCACCTCCGATGTCCACCGGACTCTCAGTTGCGCCATGTCAACTGTTTGATTCCCCTCCGTTTTTACTTCACAGCATTTTCTGATTGGCTCCCTGTGACATTCAACAGGTTCTCGCTCCCAGTCAGGGAAAACCCCACAGGCTGAGATAATCGGGCCAAAATAATGTTGAATATGTCCAATTTTAGGGACAATTTTATGTCCCTAAAATTGAATATGCATATTCAATATGCCGCAGCCCCCTACCCACGGACCACAGCAAAACTGCCAAGTCTTGACCGGACCGCAGAAATAAAAAGGACATAATGGATGGATAACTGATCAGAGTGCCCAACAACTTTTAAATAAATACATTTTCCTGCTGAACAGAGGACTGTTTTTATTATCCACCTTTCAAAATGACAAAACCATAGAACCTAGACATTCATGTAAGGCAGGTATGCTAATATTGACAAGTTTGAAAATAGCTACAAGAGCATATTTGAAAAAACTAACTGTGATTCAATCTGTAGTCAAACAAACAAAAAAATTTACTTTCTTTAAAATGCAAAATTATTCTCAGATATTAAAATTTCACCCCATCAGTTCACCTGTTTTGAGCTCATTTAGGAATGCATTGTTTTAGGTTACATCCTGTTTATGGCCAAGTTCTCTCAACTCACTGTTACATTAGCAGACATGCAAAAATGGCTGCAGACAGAGGCGTAGTGGTACAACCATACATGTTTGACTCTGAGTCAGACCCAGAAGCAGAAGTTAAGCCTCCTGAACAACCAGCAAGCACTGAAGGATTAAACATGGTGGATCTGATGCACATTTACATCGAGATTAATTCAAACTCTGAAGATTTTTCAGTGGCTGGAGGAGAAGCATTTCTTTCAAGATGTAAAAAATGATTCAGGCAATGTCAGTAATGTCCAAGAGTCTGAGATGTTTTCACAAATACTGCATCTTCTCAATGTAGACTTTCCATTACAATCCCAGTTTACTGGGATTGTACTTATTGACAAATGATGTTCATACCAAACAACACTACAAAACACACACCATTATATACTTACATCCTCATCATCTGCAGATTTGTGTTTAAGAGTAGAAGAACCTTCCTTCATTCCCAGTCTTTGGTAAATTCTGTCATGTTCTGTTGATAGTTTTCAAAGGATTCCTAAATAAATTGATCTGTATAAATTACAGTTGTCTTTCACAACATCACAGGGACATTGCAAGCAAAAATAAAATGAAGCCATGCAGCTCTGTCCTATGTGACTGGGAAAAATACATGAACACATGCTCTTGTATGCAGCCAACAGCAAAACATTTTCTTTTTCCAGTAGCTACTGCAGGGGTAACTTGGTCAAACCGAAGCGCACGTTACCCAGTAAGTGCACTGCTTGTTACAGACGGCATGTGTGTAACATCTTGTAATGAAGTGGGGGGAGCTCCATTTGTGATGCCAGATGAGGGTGCTAGACTTGGCTTTTGGTTGCTCAGTAAGAAATTGTGATGCAACAATTTACGTTTCACAAGTAAGATGGCTATATTACCATTTATATCTTGTGAATAAAATATCACTATACTGTATCTATGTCCATCAGCTACTATTATCTCTAGTGTTGTTGTAAGTTCAGCCCCCACAATGAAGGCGAATATTGACTGGTTGTGTGCTATGTAAAATGCTCATCATACGTCAATATCAAAATATTCTATTCTGAATCTATTATGTTTATCCCAATAAGAATATTTAAATAGGCTGAACTATGTATCAATCATATTCAAAAATACTTTAAAAAATGTCCTTGAAAATGTAGCTATGAAAGCTGTTTGAATAAGATTTGCAGCAAAAAAGCCTTGAAAAACTGTTTAGTATTTAGTGAGTTTTAGATACATCAAACTTTTTTTAACTTTATTTCAAATAAATAACATTAACATATGTAGAGGATCTACCTATTTACATAGACAGACAGACAAAAATCCCCCATAGAAGAGAAGAATGCAAAAGATGAATTTTGCATAACAGTGGACTTTCAGAGCTTTTTATACACCTTTACCAGGGCTTGATAGTAATGTTATTCCTATTTATTTTGTTTTGTGTTTTAGTTCTCAGAAGAAATTTTCTAATAAAACCCATTAAGAATACTTCATAAAACTTCCAAAGGCATATAAAAACTTCTTCACAGCATTGTAATCTCCCCCTGAATCAGTGTAGGCTTTACAAAAGCAATAATGGGGAACTGTAAAAGGCTCTTTTTCTTTCTAGGCATAGAATATGGAGGGCTGAGTCATGTGAAAGCTATTTGGCTTTGGGTGGCAAATAGTAAGGGTGAAAGAGCCTCTCATGGGTGCAGATTTGCAGGGCGGCATGCGTGTGCATCAGTAACCGTGGAAACCGGGAGGTGAAGTAGCTGACAAAGCCTTCTGGAAGTTCCCCAAGGGTGTCCTGGACCTCTGGCGGCAGCTCATGGTAGTGATGCTTCTGTGACATTTTGAAAACAAAACATGATCCTACTGTGAGAGTGAGGATGTGTAACTGTCCTCTGTAAACAAGCAACATGTGGCGACCGGGCAGACCTTGTTCCTCATGGCTCTGAGCAGATCTCTCACAGAGTTTCCTTTGTACGTCCTGAACCGTCTCAAATCTGGAGCAAAAATTAGAGCAACAACTCATACCTCTTTTTTTAAGCTAAAGGGAGCAGTTTTTATTTTAGCACACAGCGCTTTGCATGAATATTCATACCCCTTAAAGGGGTGGTGTTCTGCGTTTCTCAGGCACATAGTGCCATTTGATAGCACGATCAAGAAACTAAGTTACCTTTAGTTGTTATAAAAATGCTACGTATATCAAATGTGACTTTACATAAATTAGATTTTGTAATTTAACAGCTTGAAATTGGACCCCTGTCTCTTTAAAAATGTCACTACAACATTACTTCTCTGTTAACCCTTTAAAAATGTTTTTAGCAGCACTGCACTGAGAAGTAGTTCCTATGATGAGCTCAGCAGTTCACCAGGTGTTTGCTAATTGCTTACACCTGGGCTAATAGGGCTGCTCTGTAAGGTGGAAGCTCGTCTTGAAGACTGCAGCTCTGAAGAGCAGCTGTGCCTAGAAGGTAGCACTTTATCCACCCAGGCCTGTTGCACCGCTAAATTGCTGCCATGGAGATTAAAGGATTTCTTAAACATGCCTGAAAGAATCAAGGCAACACTCCAAATATGTTTTTAATGAGGAAATAGCATTAAAACTAATACATTTTACATAATACATTAAACATTTTTTCCCAATTTTGTTAGATTATAGCCACAAGCTCCAATGGATTTTAAATGACAGACAAACACAAAGAAGCAAAAAATTGTGAATGGTTTTCAGAAAGAACCTGGCCTGGGTTTTGAAAACAGCACAGGGGATTGTGGGATCTCCACTCCCACAAGAGGCTTCAGTATAAGTAGGGTAGATGTATCTCCATGGATCCCACCCTCCACCAGATCTCCATCCTCCCACTGTTTCTACTGCCTCCTCCAAGACAGTGGTACTAGGACATTAAAAACACACAGCACCAGACAGGAAGCCTGCTTCTTCCCCTGAGCTGTGAATACCAAAACACAGCAGGACTCCCCCATCAGCCACACACACCTTGACTTTCTGAACATATTTATGCTACACACCTGCACATACTAGTATAGTACATTAACCTAGGTGTACTGCACCTGTCTGCAGAGGGACAGAGATGTGCATCCTCCAGTTGGTTCGGACCACTGCTCTGCCTCCAGTCTCCAGTTTGACCACAATCGGACTCTCTGCCGGCTCCTTCTCTATGCGGTCGCTGACATCCTTTCAACAGCAAACACAGGACAAACATGGGCGTAAAGGAAGCAGGCACCTGTATTGAAATTGTAATTTTAATTGTAAATTACCTGGAAAAAGAGCAGCTGCTTCTCAGGGCTCCAGAAGAAAGGATGTTTGAGCACACAGGCGGTGCAGGGCCGGGACTCTGCGTCAGCGTTGATCATTTGCTCAATCAGATCCTTTGCTATGACATCATCTGACAGAGTGAGACACAAGGTTATCACCCTTGTGTCTTAGGTTTGTAAAATCTTTGATTAAATGAGTTCACTAGAACTGAGGGACTGACTGATTTTAAACTCACCACTGATCATTGTTTTCAGGAAGAAATTGTGCCCAAGAATTCGCCTGAGCTTCTAGCTTTTACTATAGACGCATGTTAAAAATAAAGTCAACTCCAGATTTTGAGTATGAGAACATGATACAAGTTCCTTGAGCAATTTAAGTACAACTTGTTTTACAAAAACTAAGCCAAAGTGTAAAAGCAGTGTGTTAAACAGGAAACGTATCCTGACAGCTACTACAAGAACAAGGAGGTTGAGTTGTTTTAAATCCAACAGTCCTGATGAGCTATCATCAGCCTCTGTGAGGACTAGTCAAATCACAGGTTATTGCTATCAAATGAGAGGAGAAAGATATTAACAATGATCTTAGAGTAGGTAATTATTGCTGTGGAATGTAAAAATCAGTATGTCACACAATTTAAAATTAATGCAAGCACTGATTTTTTATAAATTTAATACAATTATTAGGGGCCATATTCTACATTTTAAAGGTTACAGTTTATGAAGCATCAGAAAAAGTTAAAGCAATTAGGAAGTACTGACTAATTAAGAACACTGAATTCTGCAGTTTCTCTGTAACAAGAACTGAGTTCAGTCGAAGTTTAAACTCACAGTGAAACTAACAGTTGCAAGAAAGAGTAACTCCTGGAATACATCCTGCTAAAAGTGAAAACTCAGCACATTCAACATGGTACAACTGTACTAAATACAACTGGTGCATTGAAGTAGCAGAGATGCAGTCTGCCTAATATACAGAGGCAGCTGATTTCACAGCTGTGGAGTAACAGCTGAGAAGCATCTGACACTTCAAAACATTTGGTCAGCAGATCCCAAAAAATACATGGACATTCATGGGTAATATTCCAGGTATATAGACTTTTGCATGATACTGCAACTTCTGGACTAAACTCTGCTTGGTCCAACTCTATTAACAAAGCAAAAATAAAACATGATCTGTTATATTGTTACCTCCCTAAAACACATATTTTATTCTCGGCCATATTTGGAGAAAGCCACTGCCAAGCACAGTGGTGAAGAGATGAAAATATGGGCTTGTTTTGTAACCATGACTATGCATCTTACAGTTTTGAAGTCAACCATGATGTTCTTCTATTACTAAATAAATAAAATAAAATCAAGTAAGAAACTGTCCAACATTAGTTATGCAACAGAAATATAAATCATATCATAGTATATGAGAGAGAGAAAAAAAACAATGAGCCAAAAGATTGAATGTGAGGTTGTATTTCTGTCATTTTAAATAATTTAAGGATATAAGTGAAAATCTGCCCTCACCATGAATGTCATCCATGAAGTGTGAGAGTGAGTACTCTCCTGAAAGGATGTTGACCTGTCGTCTCAGAGCCTCGCCAAAAGGATGCTGCCCTCTGCTGACTACATAGTAGAACACACAGCCTGCTGAGAACACATCCACCGCTGATGTCTGGGAAAAATGGTAGAAGGAACAAGTGAATCTCAAAAAAACAATAAAGCACACCTATCAGGTGTGGAAAAAACAAAACTAAATAAGCCTTTTGGGCTGATAAACTTTACTATTCGTCACATTGTTCTGGTAGGAAAAGGGGCAAATTAACTTTACTGAAATGTTAGTCCATAAACACAGGAAGGGTAGATTTATATAGGTAAATGGGATAATTGTTGGAACATTTATATATGTATATGCTCTAAATGAAGATGCACCAGGGTTTATTGAGTTTTCAATATGATTGCAGAGTACAGCTCCGGCCTACTGATGATGATGGGAGATTTTAATTGCATAATATTGAATCTGGATAGCTATTGGCCCAACTCATTAGGGACAATGATGAAATTAAAGGAGTTTGACTGGTACAGAGAAACAAATCTCTTAATGCTGATGACGTTCTTCTGTTTCCTATAATATCAATACCGTGCTTGAAAGGAATAATTTCTGTTGATACATATTTTTCTGAATAGATGTCAATAGCAATATTCCACTCGGGGTTAAACAACAAAGCACATGTGGCCCAAAGAGGGCATCAAAAGCTTAGGCTTTCCTCTTTTATTAAATGATTTGTATTATACCAACTACAGTAAAACGCTGAATATAATTAAAATGGTGGTGATGGTCAGCATTGTCTTTGTCCTTCCTCGGTCACATTGAAACCATTCCCATGAATCTTTTACCCAGATTTATTGTATTCCAGATGTTATTGGTTGGAATATCAAAATTCCCATTCACTGATTTGAATAAAACTATATCAAAATTCATATGACAGAGCAAGCACCCTCACATAAAATCTAAAACGCTACAGAGAATCAAGACAGAAGGGGTTCTCAATCTACCTGTTTAAAAATACTATTTTTGGGCAGCACAGTTAAAACCTTTAATTTTGTGGATCCAACAGGATTCTCAAACAAAATGGCTGAGCATTGAGCCAGTGCTCTACACCATTAAAGGGATTTCTTAGACAATTTCTTTTTCAAAATGGGCTGAACAGGGACTTACATTTCTTCATCAGTTCATGAGTTATTATACAGGAACAACCTTATGTCATTTGAGGAGTTGAGTGGGCATTGTCATCTGATGTGATTTATTTAGATATTTACAGTCGCATTATTTTTTTGTCTACACACAGGAGGTGGGAAAGAGTACAAAATCTCATGCCAATAGAGAACTTCCTAATACATTTCCAAAAAGGGGAAGCGAGTAAGAAACTGCTAAAGATATATAAAGTGTTTCTGTCAATAAACCTTAACGAATCCACTTGGAGAAAACAAAGATAGGAAGCAGAGACGGCCAAAATCAATTCTGATGAAACATGGGAAGGAGTTTTGACTGAGGAACATTGAGTTACAAACTCAAATGTGTGGTGAAAATATAGATGGAAAATTATGAGTAGATATTTCAGCACCCCAGATGCAGTTGCTAAGCTTGTTTTGGAGAAACTGTGGCTCAGCAGTCCCCAATCATACACACATTTTTAGTCATGCCCCAAACTACAAAACTTTGGGAGGAGACGTACAAGGCTACATATAAACTACATTATACAGGGGGTTATACCTCCAGGATGTAACAGGTGCATTACTCTGTATCATCCCAGCTGGTTTGCAAGGACGAGTCAAAGCATATTTTTTAAATATTCTTTTTACAGCAGCCCTGAAATGCATTACAATAAAGAGAATGCAATTAGAACTGCCCTCTTACACCACATGTGTCCCAAAAGTAATGGGACACATGTGTACCACATGGAAAAGATAATATACTCATGAAGACTTCAAATAGCTATTTTAAAGAAAATCTAAGAGAGGGGCCAGCAGAAACTTTATTTATGTAAATATGTCCAGCAAATTTGGCTTTTGGTGTGTGGTGCCAAGCAATGCCATCCAAAGTGCATCCTTATTTTAGGGCTGTATGGTGACGCTGAAACCACAAATGTGATGCTGAAATTGTGAAATGTTTTGCTGAGATGTTTAAGCTGTGGAAAAACTTTCACACTGTTAACACTCCTGTAAACTATTGCTGATTTATGGCTGTGTAACTGCTCTGTAAAAATGATTCAAATTAAAGTTCTTAAAAACAAGACAAAACAATAAAGACAAAGAATATAAGTTTAGCGAGTTCAGGTTCAGTTTTTCCTACAGGCTTGTTTCCAGGCGTCTCTCGCAGCACTTCCGGAGCTATCCAGCCTTCAGTTCCTGGTATTCCAGAGCGCAGTGAAAAGCTGCTCCGCCCATCTGGGATCTTCTTACACAGTCCAAAGTCTGAGATGAGTGCTCGGACTTGACCCAGAGTGTTTGGCCCAGAGAGGAGAATGTTTCTGGGTTTGAGGTCACGATGGACTTCATAAGGAAAAGACGGAGGAATTTTAATGTGCAACAACAACAACAAAATATGTTTTAAAGTTGCAGTAGGTAACTTTTATAAAAAAAAGTTTTTTAAATATTTGTAAAAGGGTTAGGGTTAGGGTACCTCCTGCCTGACCTACTATTGTCATCTTAGCACTGTTAATCAACCTTGTGAATGCACTACTCTGTCAAGATTCATGTTCTATGTCATGTCCATGCTGTGTTTAGTCACTCACTCAGCTCACCTGCCATGCCTCAATGCTTACTGTTCCACCTGGGTCCCGCCCTACTCAAACACCTCTCAGCCTCTGCCCTTTGCTAGATTATCAACAAATATGAGCCAGTAAAGATCCAGCGTTTCCTTCCAAGTCTTCAGTGCGTCTACGATCCTTTTCTGCCCACAGATTTACCCCTTGCCAAGCCCTTCATGGATCCCTTCTGTTTTGGATTTCTGCAACCTGACCCAAGCTCTGCCTCAAAACCACTAAGTATTGCCTGCCCCTCCAGCTAAGTTTGCTCTCTCTGTTCTCCTGTGTATCAATTCAGCCTGATTATCCTCCAAATCCCTGGATGTTGCTTTCCGGATCTTTTTGTGGATATCCTCTTTGACTCAATACTCCCACAGAAGCCTGTTCGCTGTGGTTACCTACACTTCCCTGTTGTCAAACCCTCGGTTCTTCTGCTCTACCCATCCACTGCTTTACAGGTCAATGAAGCTGAACATTTCAAAGATACTCCACCTTTAACTGTGTCACCAGTTTTTTCTTCTCAGAGCTGTGTTTAATTTCCTCGGCCCGAGGAGCAACCAGAATTTGAAACTAAAATTAAACTTGATTTTTTCTCAGTACTCCTGTGTGTGGTTGAATTTCCAGATTCCCATAAAGTATTCTTACATTGCTCAATGTGTTAATGCTGGAGAAACAACTTATTGCTATAAGAAAATAGTCATCGTTGGCTATGCTAACTAGTCTGAACATTCTTCTGATGTCAGGAAGAAACTGCAGAGAACTAATGGGGGAGGAAAGGGGACAGGAACAGTGCCACATGAGATTGTGATTGACAGTGCTGAGATTTGCCTCCTGGCTCTTATTGTTTCTAGTTAGTACTGGAAGAAGGCAGAGGAGCTATATATTTTTTTCTCCCACGTTCAGACTAATACCATACTATTTACAGTACACAAGTTATATACTGCAGCTATAAGATGTGGATTAGAAACATTACAATTTGATGAAATTCTAATATGAGCACAAAATGAATCCATTCTGACCTATATTGAGTGAATGCAGATGAGAAAGGCCACACATGGTTTGCTCCAGAAGAGTTATATTATCCAGCTCAGGAAAGCAAGAGGAATCCTCCACATACTGCAAAGAACACAGTCAGATACATGAACTCTTGGTATAGGGATGCATGAAGCATTGTTTTGGCCCGAACTGACCTGCTGCAGAGTCACAACACATAGCTCGATGGCAATGTAGGTGAATAGGCGGTCTCTCTCTGTGCAGAAGTATCGAATGACGTTGGGGTGTGTGTCCGATTCTCTGAGAAGCTGCACTTCTCGTTCAGCTACCTCAAAACACTCAGGCAGGATTCTCTTCACAGCAACGTGCCGTCCGTCGAACCTGCCCCTAAAGTTCAAGACAATATTTATCTGAAACAATGTAAACTAACACACAATATGAATAAAGATTCAGATTCATCATTTTATGTTATATTTTCCTTTGACCTTTGACCATTCTAATCATTCTGTTTCTGGTGATTTTCCTGCTTGGAGGTGAACCTCCACTCCACACTCAAGTTTTTTTCAGGCCGCTGACATATTTTCTTCAAGAGTTACTGTTTATTTTGATCCATCCACCTTTCAATCAACTCTGCCCATCTACCTTGTTCCAGTTAAAGAAAATCACAGGGGCACAGCATTGGCACAGGGGATAGATCCACATATAAATGTGTCAGACATATTCTCTAACAAACCTTCATGACCTTCAAAGAACAGCTACATGTGTACTGAAATTAAATTATCAAATTTATTAATTATGTGACTGCCCAAGGTAGTTGGTTTCAGTGGACTTTGTTTCAGGGTAACACAGTAAAAAGGGGTTGAAAACAAATGCGTGTCATACTTTTCAGATTTCGCAAGGCTCTACTTTGTGCTGGTCTATCACATCAAATCCTCCTTATATATATTTAAGACTATATCTCTATTCTGACAAATGTGAGAAGATCAAGAGCTATGAATATATTTACAAGTCGTCCTATATTCTCTAGTAATAAGTAAGCACTTACAGTTCTATGATTTGTTCAATAACCAGAAAGGATTCTTGATGTATTTTACCTAAAGACAAAGGTCCCAGCTGTTCCATGTCCAAGTACATCAGTTGGTGTAAAGGAGATTTTTCCTACCAGTACTTCATTATCAATTTCTTCTGAAAGAGGTCCAGAAGAAAAAATGACTGGATATCCAAGTAACAATAATTTATCACTCATTAAAGCATTAATTCTCCTTAAAAGGGCTTTTCTTTATATATGTTACAATGAAGAAAACAATGAGACTGTTTCATGCCTCACCAGTTGAAGGCTTTTGATCAACCGAGTCATTTTTATCTGACTCTGATGTTCTTCTGTTGTGATGTTGAATATTAGATGAATTATCATTTGTTGCAGTCGGAAAATCTAACAGAGAAGATCAAAAATATCAAAATAAGGTTAATGTAGAAAAAAAATCACTCCAAAATACTTTTCACTCATTTTGTTACAGAATTGAGCTGGCTATTATTTTTAAAATAAAAGAAAAATACATCAATAGTAAAAACAAGCACAGAAAACCTTGAAAGTGCCTTACCACTTGCGATGGTTGGCTCAATGGATATACTCCTGTCTGCAGAAACCAAAGAGACTGGTTGAAGATTTGTCTGCATGCTGGTCTGCATTTGCTGAAGGCGAGACTGTAAGACCTCCTCCAGCTGCCTTTGAGCTTTCAGCTGCTGGGCTTTACGCTGCAGAAACAGCCATGGAAACCGTTCTCGTCAGAGCACAATTCAAACCCAGAGACCAATATGTACCTCTGAACAGCAATTTATATATTTTAACTGTAGAGAATGATTCTGAAATGTTCAAAGGGTTACTGCACTGTTTGTGTTAACTGCTGATGAAGTGTACAGGGTCCAGGTAATGACACATATAAAGCAGAGGGCTTGGAGACACATGCTGTACCTCGTTTTGAATTGTTTATTTTGGCTCACTGTTCTGTGCAGTAGGATTAGGTGTTTACAATAAACAATGGAAAGATTGAAAAGATTGCATATTGCAATCCTGTTTACGCTCATCCATTGTTGGTATGAGGAACTTGGCAGAAGATGTAATCAAAACCTTGAGCACTGGAGGAGAAGAAAATGCACTTGCTATTCCAAAGCACACCATGGATGCAGTGTTGGACTGGCTTTTATATTTTATATGCCATGCATTCAGGTTCTCCTTGGAAATAATATATTGAGCCAGCTGGAGGGTATTTTCTTGTGTTTTAATGTTGCTTTGATTGTACTTTTTCGGTGTCTCCTTTACACAAAATCTGGACAAAAGTTTTTCCTTGTATGTTGTGCAACAAATATTAGGTGGGCAAGAGCCTGCTTACTAAACTAATACATGATGCAGTGAGAGGGCCCTATGACTCCTTTCCAGCTGTTCTACATATGAGTTTCTTAAGAAATATCAAGTCTCCCAGCCAAAAAAAAAACAAACAAACAAAAAACATGTCTGTTCTTACAGAATATGCACAGGCCTTCATGTTCATACCTGCAATTAATCTTAGAAACTAAGATGCTAATTAAAAGCAAAAACAGTCAAAACACTGAGTGTCTTTAAATCTAGACTGAAACCCTATCAGTTGTTTTTGAATCAATATGAATGAAACATTAATCAACATTCTGATGTGTAACAATGGGACTTAATTATCGACTGTGTGCGCTATGACTTTGTATTTTATTTTATTATTATTGATGTAAAGTACTGCCTTATTGCTGAAAAGTGCTATAAAAATAAACTTGATTGATTGATGAAAGCCCAAATACAATAGTTGAACCGATAATGAGTGTAATTAAACTCCAATTTTAAATGATTCTCTTAAAGCAGGACTCAATCAGGTTGTGTTAGATTAAAAACCCTAGATAAACAGAATATTTCATCTCTTTTGGAGGAACACAGCAATCTTTTCTCTTTGGCATTCATTTTTCACCAGAGTAGATGCAGATCCATGTTAACCAACAAACATGCATCTTTGTTTACAAACTTGTAAACAAATTCAGACTTTCACAAATGAACTCACAAGAGGAAAAGTGATCACAAAGGAGAGCCATCCTCCAACCAGAATGGTCAAAACTGCCAGCGTCAGACGGTCCTGGGTCAGGAAGATGGGCAACACCGTGGCAGGTCTCTGGGTCTCCTCACTGACCCCTTCCTTCTTGGTGATACGGTCACTGTGGCTGCCAGAGACAGCTTGAAACTAAATCACAAAGATAACAGGTACATGATGAGGATAGATTTGAATCTTTTTTAAAGTAATAGGACTTCTCCAAAGCACATATGCAGATAAAACCAGATTTTTACTTACATGCATACATAAAAGACACAAAAATATATTTTTCCTCACTGTCTGAAGTTAAATCTGACCAAACCTTGTTTAGCTTAGTTAGAATTATCAAAATTATTTCTATGTTTTTAGAATTTTTTTTTTTTACTTTTTCTCAAATTCAAAAGTTTGCATACCTTTGGTCAGTAACCAAAGGTAATGATCAAGTCAGTCAAACTCTCTGACTTGGGTCAAATTTTTTAATCTCTAAAAGATGCTCTCACTAAGTTTTTCAGCAAATAGGAATAATTTAGGTAACTCTAACTAATGAATGCTAACGCCACTGCTGCTCTCCAGCCAGGTGAACAGTTTCTAGATATATCTATCTCGTTTTTACTACATTTAAGGTTGCCAACTGTTAGAATGGCGGCAGGTTTAAAGAGAAGTCTTGAGGCAGAGAAACAGTGCAGACCAACCAGGGCTCCAACATTTAACATATAGACATTCCTGCTAACAACGGCAATGGGTCTCAACAGCAGCCACGCCTACCACCCTGCAATGTGGCCAACATGCAGGCTTTTATAGTCCCTGGCTGCTCCAATTAACAAACCCACCAAGAAACAAGACAAAATACATATACACAACAAACTTGACAAAACAACCAAAATCTTCAGCACAATATTAACAAACTCTTAATTTTCAAGCAGCCATTTTATTTCTAAAAATACCTCTCTATAAATATAAGTCCAATCATTAAACTCCTAAAATACATAGTTCTATCGCTCCCCCTCTTCCATTTGCATTGGTCTCTTCCAGAACCTTTTTAAGGTGCTCAGTCTCCTGGGCAATCTTTTAGCCTGAACACCCTGCAGGGGAAGAGACAGAGGTGAGCCACATCTACACAAACATTTCAATCCATTTCAAACAGTTACAAGACCCATCCATCCATTTGTTAGTTTTATTTTAACAGGACACTATCAGTTCCAGCTGAGATGCAACTGCATAAAAACACACAAATAATAAAATACTTCAATCTGTTTATCATTCAACACACCCTTTTAAGTGTTTTCATCCAAGTAATGAAGACCTTCATTACATCTATCTACAGTCAAGGAAGACATTTGAAATACAAAATCTGCTGTATTTTTATTGCTCTAACACAACATGAGCATTTTCTGAAGATATTCAATTGTGCTGTTTATAACTGTTAATATTCTAAAGCAGGTAGCATTCTTTTTTTTTATATTTCAACTTTGCATGAATAAACGTGCTTCAATTGTTTCTCATTTTGCTGTTGTTGCACCAGAGTTTCCCCCATTGTGAGATAATAAAACATGTTATATGATATTCTATTATTGTGAAACGACTACATGCCAGTTCTTTAATTAAACGGTTATGAACTATTAATTGTACAGGACATAAAAATTAACAATAAACCTGAAAAAAATTAGTGGTATTTTATCCATGGCTGTATGTCTGAGTAGGTCTAAAACTTGCAAGTAATTATGTTTTATTTTTAATTTAAACAGCTATTCCAGTTATTTATAATTGTTTATGTCCGGATGGTTACAAAAAAAAGTGTTTAAAGTAAAATGTCTGTTTTCAATAATTCATTCTGAGTATGTAACTGTCACATTAGTAACTGTGTCATTTATCTACTATAAGCTATAACATCTGATTACTTTCCCCAGGGAACAGAAGAAGAACTAGCAACTGGATCTCCTTCAGGATGAAGCAGCTACCAGCACTCGGATAGCAGAGCTTCATGAAGAAGAACTGAGAAAAGAAGAAAAATAAAAGCTGCTAACCCCAACCCTAACCCTATACACTTAAAACAAAGTGTATTTGTGTATTTTTATTCAGTGTGTGTAAATAGGTGGTTTCAGATGTAGCTGCACTGTGTGTGGACTTACATAGCGCTGGTGGTAGAAGGAAGCTGAGAAGGGAGAGGCAGCGGTTCGAGGTGGGATAACTGGCTCACCAGAATGCTGCAGATTGGCAGGAAAATCCCTCAGCATGGTGGTGTGGGCTAATGGAGGGACCTCATGGTGGCCTGCAGTGTTAAAGATCATACAGTAGTGTGCAAAAGTCTTGAGTGATCTGCTATTTTAATCTAAAGATTCAGGCTTAAGCAGTAGTCCTCCAGGCATTAAAAAGGTCTTAAATACAAAATAATTCACTTTCATCAACATATTGAGCCTAATGTGAAGATTAATAGCTGTCTTTACCTATTAGCAGCCAGTGGTTCTTCTGGCTGTTTGTGCTCCCTGGTGGATATTGGACATTAGTGGAGGGAGTGATCTCACATTCCCCTCTCTGACTGACCGTCACCTCCTCTGTCATCGGACCCTCGATTCTAGCCAGCGTCAGTTCCCGGGGCTGCCATGGTAACAGAAAGCATAGAACAATCACCCTATCTTTATCAGTTCCTCACTGTCTCGTACCTGATTTGATCTGCTGTTTAATCGTAATATAGTGTTAGGAGGGACTTTTGTCAGTAGAAATTATGTGCTGCACTCACCACTAATGACACTCCATGATGGACGAGTGAAGCTGAAGCATAAAGGTGAGAGTCAAGTTTTCCAACATAGAGAGTGGGTCTGAAGAAAAGAAAAAAGCATTTTCACTTGTCTTCAATTCAATTTCATTTGAGTGCCTACACTGCATCAGGTGTTTCTGCCCGCAGGTTGAAAATCAGACCAGACACACTCTGCCTGTAAAGTGTTCGTATACCTGTACTTCTTCTTCAACCCTATTACCACAAGCCTAATTATATTTAATTGGGAGTTCATATAATTGTGACATGTAGCGAATAAGAGCCATGGTTTTGAATAATGGTTTACAAATTGAAACCAGAAGATCGGCACATTTGCACTCAATCATCGTTCAGAGCAACTAGTATCTTGAAAAACAAGGCCAACAGCAAAAAGCCCAGGAATATACTGTAACTCTGGAAAGATTTAAAGCAGGTTTAAGTTATAAAATAACAACCCTATGGACAACCGGTTTGAATATTTCTGACCTTCATACTCATAAAGTAGTAATGGTTAATGATAAATGGACATCAGCATAAAATAGCTTAGTCTTTGATTAAACAATCAAGTTTACTGTGAAGCTCTTTTCAGCAACAAGGCAACACAAAAATACAAACCTATACAACATACAGTCAACAACTGGCAAATGGCTTCTTTACATATCAGAACGTTTATTAATGTTTCATTTATGTTTCAAGAGCAACTCCAAGCAGGCGGGTTTTTAGTTTTGATTTAAAGGAACTCAGTGTTTTGGCTGTTTTATAGTTTTCTGGAAGTTTGTTCCAAATTTGTGATGCATAGAAGCTGATCGCTGCTTCTCCATGTTTGGTTCTGGTTCTGGTTGTTGCACAGCAGAACCAGAACCAGAACCAGAGGGGTTCTGGAAGGTTTATTCAACAACAGCAGATCTTTAATGTATTGTGGTGCTGAACCGTTCAGTGATTTATAAACAGCAGTTTTTCAGTCTATTCTCTGAGCTTCAGGGATCCAGTGAAGGACTTTAGAACTGGGTTGATGGGTTCTGTCTTCCTGGTTTTAGTGAGAACACCAGCAGCAGCTTCTGGATCAGCAGCTTCTGGGTCAGCTGCAGCTGGAGGATTGATTTTTTTTTTTAACCAGACCTGTGAAGACACTGTCACAGTAATCAATGCAACTAAAGATAAATGCATGAACGAGTTTCTCTAGATTTTACTGGGACATTAGTCCTTTAATCCTAGAAATTCTTCAGGATTCTTCAGGTAATAGAAGGCCGACATTCAGTCTGTTGCAGTAGTATGGTTTTAGGCTTAATGTTTATTAATACGTGATTGCAGTGGTAAAAGGAGACAACTATAAATATGTCGCTCCACTTGACTTTACTGTATGGCTACTTAATGTATATGCATCATTCACATAGTTATGGGAGCTAATCTTATTTCCTCTTCTAACCTGAGCTAGTGGGAGCACATAGATGTTAAATAAGAGGAATCCTGGGATTGAACCTCGGGGTACCCCACATGTGACTTGCTTCCACTTTGATGAGAAATTACCTGCTGAAACAATGAAATCCCAGTTCTTCATGCAAGATTCAAACAAACTGAGTACAGGAACACAATTACACAATTCTCCAGTTGTTTCAGTAATATGTCAGGTTCAACAGTGTCAAAGGTTTATATGAATCTCCAGAGGTTCCCCCAGAAAACTTGCAAAACAAGTAAAGCATGGTGGGCCGCCAGGATATAATACACTGTGGGAAACCCTGATGTCACTGAACACTTTGACTAGGCCAGTCTCAATACTGTGGTGAGCACCGAAAACAGACTGAAAGACCTTGAAAGTCATTGGTAATTGTTGAGAAACTTTTTAACGATTAAAACAATTTTTTCAATAATTTTGCTGATTAATGGAAGGTTGGAGATCACCCTGTAGTTCTTTGATAACTGCTGTTTTTAACACCGGGGGAAAACACCTGATGAGATGGATGAGTTTACTGTTTGAATCAGATCAGATGGAATGACAGACTAAATTTTCTTAAGTTTTATCAAAACATCATTAAAAGGAGTTTAATTTTTGTTAAGTAGTTGAATATTTGCATTGGTCTCTTCCAGAACCTTTTTAAGGTGCTCAGGCTCCTGGGCAATCTTTTAGCCTGAACACCCTGCAGGGGAAGAGACAGATATTTCTCTGTCTCTTCCCCTTATTGTTAAGTAGTTGAAATTGAGTAATTATTTATGTTTATGTTTGTACATACCACAAACATAAACTAGATTTAGGTTTATGTGCAGATTGATCCTCTAATTTTTTACATTTTCCCCTCATGGGGAGTTAGAAACTGCGGGGCGTGCTGTGGTTGCACAAGGGTTAGCACGCCCCACGTTTGGAGGCCTCAGTCATCGATGCGGACGTCGCGGGTTCGATTCCCGGTCCCGGCGACCTTTGCTGCATGTCTTCCCCCCTCTCCTTGCCCTCCTTCCTGTCTGCCTACTGTCAAGAATGCAAGCCACTAGCGCCACAAAAACTCTTCGGAGAAAAAAAAAGATTTAAAAAAAATGTTAGAAAATGTATTGCAGGCTGTGTTTGATTGGAGTTCAGGTGGTTGTGAGCCTTTTCGACTGTTGCAAATAAAGCTTGAGTTTTGTTAAGGCATTCCATAAACCACGCAGACTCCGTGCATACTGTCCACGGACGGTTGGGTCTTCATACTCAAGCATATTGATTACCTAAAATTCTCTTGTGACAAATTCCTTTATTTCACACAATCCTCATGAAAACTAGTAAGTTTGATTAACTATTTGGGCACCTAGCTCTGTTTCTTCTCCATCTGGGAAGCCTTAACTCACCTCTCAGGGCGGGACAAAGAATGGCAGTCACATGTCATTTCATCCGGCAAAGACAGAGAACCGCTGCCAAGAGCCAGCGGAGCTTCCTACTGTGCTGGCTTTAGCTCTAATCAGGGCTCCATTCAATAAGTTTTGTTTATTATGTTCCAAAAGCACATTTGTGATCGGTGTAATCATTTGTGCAGCAATCAAAAATGAATAGATACCCAATCATTCTTTCCTTGCTGTTGTTCAAGGAAAAAAAAAAGGCCCAGACTCAACTTATTGGACCACCTGTTTACTCTGCTGCTGATGAAGTCTGGGATGATGTCTTGTTTTTTATTCTTATAATTCTGCATAATTCACCATGTCAATATTTGAGTGAATATATAAAGCCTGTTGCTGTTAAGCATTTTTGCTTACGTGTCTATCACGTCCCCGTGACAACTTTATGTCGACTTTATGTTGATGTCAACTTTGAAACAACATGAACTCATAATACCCTTATTCTCAAACTTATCAGCCCGGTGTCACATGAAAACCAGTTCAATGTGAACACTGTTTCCACCGGGTGGTTTAATGTGCAACACAGAGTCTATCCTTGCGCGGACATGTTCGGTGGACTTCCGCGGACTGAAGTGTGCCGAGTATGTTGGGGCCTTTAATGTTTTTGTTTATGATTTCCTCAAATAATTTTTCCCTTGCATGTTTTAGTGTAGAGTGATAGTTTCGCAGTCTTTCTTTATAGATTTCATAATAAACATGAAGTTGAGTTCCATGCGTTCGACCCTAAAACTAAGCATTCTTGCAGATCCAACTATTGCACATATCTTCATTCTTCTAATAGACAGAATCTTTATTTCAACGGGAGCAATGGCATTGTTCTTACATTAGTTGGGCTTGTGCTCTAGCTTGCTCTGTCACAAACTGGTAGTTCCATTTCAACGTAGAGTAAGCTTCTGCCTGGTCTTTAGCAGAGGACAAGGTGAGAAAGCGTAACGTCTCCATGGCAAGCGAGAGGTGAGGGGCGTGTCTCAGTGACTCTTCATAGTAGAGGTATACCCCTACAACAGGTGAACCGTAATTTTGAGTCCACAGGACATCGCCTGTAAAGCAAGATAACAAACATTCCAAATCCTTGCTAGACAGCTGAGATAAGAGTGAAGAAATGTATAATCCACACAGATCCTCCTACCTGATTCCCGGTCAACAGTCACCACCAGACCATCACCGCTAGACACCAGATGAGCCATTTCTGGAGGAAGATTACTTAAAGTTAGTTCTAGGACTGGCAGTACAACATTGTGTACTGCCCTCTTAATTGTGGTGCCTTAAAAAAAAACTATTGCAACCAAATATCTTGTGAAGTCAACAAAGTCAGGAATTCCACAGACTGGGCTTTTATGCAACAAGCCCAAGAAACTTATTGTTTAAATATATCCTTTAAGACATAAAATCCCAAGAAAATAAACTGAGTTTAATTGTTGTAATTTGATCAAGTTTAAAGAAGTTCAACAGATATAAATACTTTTTGCAAATAAATGTATATTAAGACAGTGCTTAAGCTTTTGAGGTTGTTGAACAAACTATTTGTTTAATTTTGTGAATGTGTGCACAGACACGTACTGTAGTTTTGCTTCTCATCATAAGGATGAGCAGAGTAATCATTGTACGTAGCGTTCCATCGAAGCTCTTGTATCTTGGTATCAAACATGGTAATCATATACTCTGGAAACAAAGGGAAACACTCATTAACTCCAGACTAATTGAGTTAGGCTCAAGTAAGCCTGGCTCCTGAAGTGCTGTGTGTGTGTGGCAGACCGGTGCGCCCAATGTAGAGCAAAGGAGTGTTGGGACAGATGGACTCGGAGGAGGAGGTGGTTAAACTTGTTTGCTTTTCCCCCGTTTCCGGATCCACTACGAACCACACATCATGTTTTTTCCCTGTGTACACACACGAAGAAGGAAGGTTATCTACAAACAGCAGACAGGTGAGTCATATGTTTATACAGCACTATACTGTAAAAGTAAAACTCTATAATTCAAGAGGCGGTTTTAGCTCTACCTGGTTCAAATTCATTGAAGAAATGCTGTTATTACTTTTAAGCAATAACATGTTTATTTTCTTATTTTATAAATGGAATATATATTTCAATATTGCAGAAAAAAGCTAAAGAGGTTGAATTAAAAATCCGTAGAATATGCCAATTTTTTTATCCAATTAATCATGAGAATAATCAATAGAATAATCAATTAATAACATAATCGTTACTTGTCCCCCTGGCAGAAAGTGAGCAAAAAAAGTAGCCAAAGTCCAGACAAAAACTATCAACAAAAACTTAAGAAAGTTTAAAGAACTGTGGTCATCAAGTTCACCTAACATAATTAAAGAAGTTCTGTCTAAATGGGAGAAATATAAAATGAAACGAGAAATGACCCTAGACTTTTGCACAGTATTTGTCTTCTTTTAGGCAATTTACAATCAAAGAAAGATCAGAAATTGATAGGACACATTAAAGATCAGACCTGTGTAGAGAATTCCATCAGAGCTTCTGCAGGGGGCAGAGTGAACCAACTCTGAGATGGTAAAAGGCAATTTCTGTGGAAACAGAAAACCGTCATGACTGCTTTGTCGGAAAAAAAAAAAGAAAGAAAGAAAATGTGACACAATATAAACAATCTTACCATCAAGCCCTCCTTATGTTTTCCACCAAGGACATACAAACTGCCATCATTAGGATCTGGGAGAAAACCAGGCCTGCATTTTAGAAACAGAAACAAAACAGTTAAACCTGTCAAAAATCTTGATAATTTCTAACATTATTGCTTTGGTAATAATTACAGTGAAAGAAAGTCTATTACAAATCACAAAAAAGTTCTGTATAATTATGGCATTTAAACAGAAGATTAGCCAAATATAATGTAAGGAATAGGTTGGTAAAGCTCGTCAATGGCACAAAATCACATAGTGCCATGCAAAAGTATTCAGACCTCTTTAAGGTTTTTCCACTTTGTCACAACCACACCCTTTTTATATTCATGTATGTCAGGCGATAGTGCGACAAATCAACACATAGTAGTGCTTTTAATGCATGGCTCTACTGATGTTGCCCCTCAAAAGACGGAAATTGTTGCCAATGTTCTTTGAAAAATATCTCAAGCTCAAGTCCATTTTCAAAGCCTGGTCCAAGACTCTCCATTGGCTTTAATTCTTAACTTCGATCGGCCCATTCTAATACATGAAAATACTTTGACATAAAACCATTTCATTGCAGCTCTGGCTGGATGTTTGTCCTGCAGAGAGGTAAATATCTGCCCAGCCTCAAGATTTCTGAATTTGTTCCAGGAGTGATGAGTTCCCTCTGTCTTGCTGAAGAAAAGCATGGTGCTGCTGGCCTGCACTCTATTTACCTGCATGGTTGGAGAATGTTAAATGTTGCCATCCACTGGTGTTTTGTATGAAAGAAAAGCTGGTTCATTTTAGCCTCTTTTTCCATATCATACATCATTTCCCTGGGGAATGGGCTTCTCAAGACAAGTTGTGTGCAGTGCACGACTAATAATTACCTCAGCAGCTCTCAGCAGCTCCCCCAGTGACACCATGGCACTACAGGCTGATTCCCTGATTAATGCTCTTCTACTCCAAACTGGAGTTTTGCCATGTTGTTTACATTTTCAAATGATGGATCAGCTTGTTGAGATGTTCAACGCTAAGGATACTATTTTCTCCTCAAACCATCTGCTGTGTTCTCTGGCCTTCATCATACCTTTTGTTCTCTAATGTTCTCTAACAAGTACAAGAGGCCTTCAAAGAACAGCTGTATGTCTCCTGAGAACAAATTATTACATTTGCTAGCTATGAAGGCAACTAGTAAATGATAAAGGCAATTGATTCCAGTGGATTTTGTTGGATTTATAGTGGGACTACGTTACATCCAAGTGTATCTACTTGTGACTGGATAATCCAAGACACATGTTAATGGCAAGAATAAGTAGAACCTTAGATACATATGTGATCACTATGCAACACCATTCAAATCTGAATTTTTACAAGTAAACATAAAATGCAAACAGAAGAAAATTCGTTCAGCAAACTGGGTTATTAATCCACATAAATCTCCAGTAGAAACAAATCCAGCTAAATGTGGGTCTGAAGTGTTACTTACTCCTCAAGGTAGTTAGGCACCTGAATAACAGGATCTGAAACATATTTAAAAAATATTTTTATGAAAAATCCCACATTGACATTGAGAGGGAAAATGAACACATGTATGTAAACCTTCTCTTAAAGTCCACTTGATGCCTCCTGTCTGCTTGGAGATAGCATGCAGACTGCCGTCCAGAGTGGAGACAAACAGAAGGGACTCTGGGAGTGTGACTGATCTGACTCCTCCAACCTGAAGGATTAAAAAGGGAAGAAAAGCTTTGTCAGTTGTTAGAGAAGGATGTCATATCCAAAGATTTCACTAAACTTTGAGTACTTAATGGGTGAATGTGAATGGGAGCTGTAATACCTGTGTTGTTTCTTATTTAGCAGCATATGCTGATTCTCCCTACAATCTACAATCTACATTACGATGTCACCTGGTGACTCTGAACATATTCCAATCACTGAATAAATGTTTAGAACAGATAAATGTGTGGATGTGCCAAAACTTTCTCCAGCTGAACAAAAACAAAACTGAAGTCATTATTTTTGGACCTAAAGAGGAACGATCTAAAGTCAATGCACAGCTTCAGTTATTACAACTAAAAACTAGCGATCAGGCCCGAAACCTGGGAGTAGTGATGGACTCGGACTTGAACCTTGCGAGCCACATAAAGACAATTACAAAGTCAGCCTTTTATCACCTGAAGAACATCTCCAGGATTAGAGGACTAATGTCTCAGCCAGATCTGGAGAAACTCATTCATGCGTTTATCTTTAGTCTCATTGATTATTGCAACAGCGTCTTCACAGGCCTGTCCAACAAATCAATCCTCCAGCTGCAGCTGATCCAGAAGCTGCTGCTCCTGTTCTCACTAAAACCAGGAAGATAGAGACATAACAGCAGTTTTAAAGTCCCTCCACTGGCTCCCTGTAGCTCAAAGAATAGATTTTAAAATAGTGTTGTTAGTTTATAAATCACTGAACGGCTTAGCACCACAATACATCAAAGATCTGCTGTTGTTGTATCAACCTTCCAGAACCCCTCAGGTTCTGGTTCTGGTTCTGCTCTGCATCCAAAGAACCAGAACCAAGAGAGGAGAAGCAGCTTTCAGCATCTATGGACCAAAAATCTGGAACAAACTTCCAGAAAACTGTAAAACAGCAGAAACCCTGACTTCCTTTAAATCTCAACTAAAAACACACCTGTTTAGAATTGTTTTTGAATGTAATATGTAACAATGTATTGTCTATTATATGTTGCATGATTTTGTGTTCTTGTGTTTATGATGTAAAGCACTTTGAAATCCCTTGCTGAAATGTGCTATACAAATAAAATTTGATTGATTGATTGATTGAATCACCACTAACAAAACACACAATGGTGAGAGTTTTCATATCTCATGTTGCGATTTTACTGATGACAAATTTTATTTGTCATACTATTTTCATAGTATGGGAAAGTCACTTCATCACTTAAAGCCTTCTTGTCTAACTCTCTGAATATCCAAACGTAAACATAAAATTGCAATGTTTTGGCAGACACAAGAACTAAAGAGAAAGAGCTTAGACGTGGCCATAGAAAAACACCGAAAGGCATTCAGAAAGTCTGAAAAACCAAAGATCAACTCCCATTTAAAGGAACTAACAGAACTTTTTCTATAGTAAAACATAATAAAACTTACTTTAGATATACTTTCGCCTAAAAGGAATTTGTCTTGATTTTTTCTATATTGTTATTTGGTAAAATAGTATATAACCACCCAAAATTCAGCTTCTTTTGCATATGCTTTCTTTTGAATGTCTTTTGTAGGTCTATTTGTATTTTTCTATTATTTTATTGAATAACAGTAAAATAAATACACAAATCACTAAAAACAGTAACAAAAAATGTAAATATTTAAGTAAGGGCTTGGATCAGGCTAGATTTATGTCAACAATAAGATCTGATTTTATGTTAATTATATTAAACTTTGTTGAGATGAGACAATGGGACAAATGATGTCCTGTCAGGTGACAAGCGCTGTATCCGCATACCGCTCCCATGTTGACCGAGTGAGAGCAGCCTTTTAACTGCGCCAAACCGTCCACTGGGAGACTCAAGCGGTAAAAACGCACGTACACACGCTTTATTACTAATAGTTTTCTGCCCCAGGGCCAACCAGCTTCTAACTAGAGCCTGAAATAGCCTCCTAATCCAGTTGCGCCAGTCCCCTCTGTGCACATAATTTACAGATCACGAACCGTATTAAGCAACAGAAACACACAGTTTAAAGCTGTGAAGTTTACCTGAAGGAGTTTGTTTTCCCAGGACAGCAGGAGAAAAGACAGCAGAATGAGCTCCAGATCTCCCGTTACCCCCAAAACTCTGGACTTCATGGATCCGATACAAACAAACAACAGGACTCAATTAAAGCTGCTGAACTAGCGACAGCGGTCCAACTCTATATTCATTTCCAATATCCGTCTGCCGCGATGCGATCGTCCAACATCTGGTGGCAATAATTAAAGTGTCACTTTACATTCATAAAAGCGGCACTTTCCCACATTTCCGTGTTGGGACGGACCTTGTAGAGTCAGCAGCAAACCGTCAGGAGGAAAGGAGAGGTAGGAGGAGCCGCTGTCATGAAACTAACTGATGGGTGGCTCGACCAATCAGAAACGGCTTTGAGAACATGACTGGCGAGGCTATGGAAAGAACTGGAACACGTGGAAACAGACAACAGGACAAGTGTAAACGCAACAAGAAAGCCTTTTTGTGCGATAGAAAGAGGTGGAGGGATAAATTGTTCTCTTTTCTGCACATCCAATATATCCACACACACACACAGTGACAAGAAGGGTCTCTCCATTATGAAAGGTTTTACGGTCTTTAAATGAAACTTTGTAAAATTTAATTTCAGAAGGTACAAATTTTCTTCTTCATCTACCTGTCATAAGTTTTTATTTTATTTCATCGCATTGTTTTTTTCTATTCTTCCAATCACTTGTTTTTCATACCCTGAGGTTTAGGTAATACTCCAGTGTTCTATAAAACCGTAATGGAACATGAGCTGAATACAATGACAAAGGCCAGATTACATTTTCCAGTTAAAATATGACAGACTTTCTTTTTTTTTCATTTTAATTTTATTTCATTTTTTACTTTTTTGTTAAAGGGGCCTCCTCCTCGGGCTGCCACCTTATTGTGCTGGAGGGGTTTGAGTGTCTCAATGATCCTAAGAGCTATGCTGTCTCGGGCTTCATGCCCCTGGAAGGGTCACCCAAGGCAGACAGGCCTTAGGGGAGGGACCAGACAAAGTGCAGCCCGAAGACCCTGATGGTGAATAAGAAGTTTGGATTTCATGTTCCCTCGGTGGAACCAGCCACAGTGGAGCCAGTCCTGGCTCCACTGTGCCAGGCCTGGGCTAGGCCCAGCCGGGCCTAGCCCAAAGAGCAGACATGGGTCCCCTGTCCCATGGGCCCACCACCTATGAGAGGGGCCAAAGGGGTCGGGTGCAGTGTGTGATGGCCGAGGAAGGGGGTCCTGGAGGTCCGATCCTCGATTGCAGAAACTGGCTCTTGGGATGTGGAATGTCACCTCTCTGATGGGGAAGGAGCCGGAGCTGGTGTGTGAGGCTGAGAGGTTCCTGCTAGAAATAGTCGGTCTCACCTCGACGCATGGCTTTGGTTCTGGAACCAGTCTCCTTGAGAGGGGCTGGATGTACTTCCACTCTGGAGTTGCGCACGGTGAGAGGCGTCGGGCAGGGGTAGGCATACTTGTTGCTCCCCATCTCGGCGCCTGTATGCTGAGGTTTACCCTGATGAACGAGAGAGTAGCCTCCCTCCGCCTACGGGTGGGAGACGAGTTCTCACTGTCGTTTGTGCTTATGGGCCAAATGACAGTTCAGTCTACCCACCCTTCTTGGAGTCCTTAGAGGAGGTACTGCCCCACCTGGGGACTCCCTCATTCTTTTGGGGGACTTAAACGCTCATGTGAAGAATGACAGTGAGACCTGGAGGAGTGTGGTTGGGAAGAACACTTCCCCCGATCTGAACTCAAGTGGTGGTCTGTTGTTGGACTTCTGTGCTCGTCACGTATTGTCATTGTTTCGTCAGATCTGCGGCCGTATGTCTTGGACACTCAGGTGAAGAGAGGTGCGGAGTTGTCCACTGACCACTACCTGGTGGTGAGTTGGCTCCGGTGGAGGGGGAGGATTCCGATCAGACCTGGCAGGCCCAAACGTGTTGTGAGGGTCTGCTGGGAATGTCTGGGGGAGTCCCCTGTGAGACGGAGCTTTAACTCCCATCTCTGGCAGAGCTTCAAACACGTACCAGGGGAGGTGGGGGACATTGAGTCTGAGTGGACCATGTTCCGTGCCTCCACTGTCGAGGCGGCTTATCGGAGCTGTGGTCGCAAGGTTGTCAGAGCCTGTCGTGGTGGCAACCCTCGAACCCGTTGGTGGACACCTTCGGTGAGGGATGCTGTCAGGCTGAAGAAGGAGTCCTATCGGGCCTTTTTGGCCTGCGGGACTCTGAAAGCAGCTGATGGGTACCAGCAGGTGAAGCGGCATGCGGTTTGAGTGGTTGCTGAGGCAAAAACTCAGGCGTGGGATGAGTTTGGAGAGGACATGGAGAAAGACTTCCGCATGGCTTCAAGGCAATTCTGGTCCACCATCCAGCGTCTCAGGAGGCGGAACTGTTTACAGTGGGGGTGGTGTGCTGCTGACCTCAACTTGGGACGTTATCGGCCGATGGGCAGAGTACTTCGGAGACCTCCTCAATCAGACTGACATGCCTTCCATTGAGGAAGCTAAGCCTGGGGACTCTGGGATGGGCTCTATAATCTCTGGGGACGAGGTCTACGAGGTGGTTAAGAAGCTCCTCGGTGGCCGAGCCCCGGGGGTAGATGAGATTCGCCCGGAGTTTCTTAAAGCTCTGGATGTTATAGGGTTGTGTTGGTTGACGCGACTCTACAATATCGCATAGACATCAGGGGCAGTTCCCCTGGTGGTGGTCAGGGGTTTTTGTGGACTCTAGTGTCCCTGATATGAAAGTAGACCGACAGGAAAGAAGGCAAAGAGAGTGTGGAAGACATGCAGCAAATATCGTAGGGTCCGGGGAATCAATCCCGCAACAGCTGCTTAGAGCACGTAAGGCCTCCAAATGTGGGTCATGCTATCCCCTATGCCACCACAGCACGCCCATTATACACCCAGTTCTTAAAAAATAAGGATTTGTGCTTGAAGCAAACAATTTGGTTATTCCAAATAAACTGTTATGAGGGGGAAAGTTATATTTATAATCCAATGTCCAGGATAAAATAAGTTGTTTATGGAAGCTAGATAAATTAACAGGGAGCTTTTTTATTTTGTTGTTACATCTTAAAAGTCTAGCCCACCAAAGGATTTAAAAACTTGTGTACGAATCCAATGCCACATTGAATTGGGATTTTTCACATATCTTTTGATCCACTTAACTTTGACTGCAAAATGTAGGGTATTAAAGTCCAGAACACTGAAACCACCAGAAATTAGTCCATTGATCATAACATTCTTTCTAATAAGATGGGGCTTTTTTTCCCCTAAATGAAATCAAAGAGCATTTGATCAATTTTGGTGCAAAGGCTGTTTGGGACATCAAGGGCTGAACTGACATAGACAAGATTAGAAAGACCTTCAGTTTTGGCCAGCAGGACTCAACCAGTGACAATAAGGTAACATGTAACATCGATAATTGAGCCACTTGAATTAAGTTTAGTACCATTTTTTGTTTGTCTTTGCTTTTCAAGTTTGACAAAGTAGCTAGAATTTTGTACTTCTTTGGCTTGTGAATATATAAAAACTCCTTTTGCATTTTTAATAGAAATTTGATCAAGTTTAAGCTGAAGGGTTTGTAACTTGACTCTCTGTAGCTCAGATGGATTTTCAGGAAAACTAGAGGATAATGAAATCAACTCAGAGAATTCTCCTTCATGCTATTTTTAATTCTACTTGCCTCAGCTTTACTTAAGATCTTTCCTAACTCATATTTTAAAAGCTCTCAGTAACATTCATAATTATTTTCAGATGTGCAATTTTGTTTTTAATTGTTAAATAGGTTTGTCATTAAAAAGGGAGTTATCCATCTTCCAATATACAGAGTTCCTTCTAGCAGGGGAAATAGAAACCTGTAACAAAATGCCTTTATGATCAGTAAGGGCTGCTTGAATAATCTCAGCTTGGCAATTTGAATGTTGTAAATGTAACTAGGTCTATATTGGAGTAATATCTGACATAAGGGGTCAGATATTAGCCAAAGATTGATTCTTGAGTGTTGCGAACCAGTGTTGTTTTTCCATGTAAACTGTACTGTTTTTGGATTATTTACCCCCCAAATATCTATGAAACCTCGTTCATTCATAAAGTCAACAATCTACTAATTTATTCTTTGCCTGCTAGGCTATTGGTCAACCTCATTATTAACAATAATGTTGAAATCTCCGAAAATTATTTTAATACTATTACATTTTTTAAGAAGAGCATCAATACTGGAGTTCAAAGTTTCAAACAGCCTGACATTTTCCTAAGCATTGTTATAACCATAAATGTTACCAATAAGAAAGAAAGAATGATCATATGTGATAACAGTGAGAATATAGTGTCCAACTGGGTCGGCTTCGGTGAAGATTCTGGTGCTATTAAATTTGTGTATCAAAGTTATTGTGCCTGCTGTACGGTGAGTTCCAGAGCTTTCCAAAGTTTATAGTCACTATCAAGGGAATGAGTCTCTTGAAGCAAAAAAAAAAAAAAAAAAAAATCAGCACCACATTTTTTTGCAAACTGAAATAAAGCTGTTTTTCTGGTGATATCCCTCAGTCGTCCAGCATTAACTGAGAAATAAAGCTGAAGTTGGTTTCCAATTCTAGCTTCAGATTTGGAAAATGGCTAAAAGGCGATTCCACCTAATTTCTCAATAACCTCCACATCTTTAATCAACTATGGTTTAAAATCTATAACACCTAGACCAGGGGTGCTCAATATGGCAATCGCGATCTACCGGTCGATTGCTGGAAGGTTTTTAGTGGATCTCGGCAGCAGGTGACAAACTGAAGGCTTCTAGGATGCTGAGACCAGCTCTTTCTCTTCTGACGCGTTTATCAAAATAGGAGTTTAAATTAGCTAATCAACCACCGCTGTGTTCATGAGAGGTTTATGAATAATCGATAACTAAATATAACATCAAGCCTGGAAACCTGATATTGTAATGGACTGAATGTTTTTAATGTAATCTTTGCTCGACTTGCGCCAGGTTTGCAGAGTCTAGGTGTTGTAGTTTTTAAACTAGAGTCAATTAAAGATGCGGAAGGTGGTGGAAAATTAGGTGGAATCGCCCTTTAGCCATTTCCCAAATCGGAAGCCAGAATTGGAAACTAACTTTAGCTTTGTAACTGAGAAGAACTTTAACATAGCAATGAACAAATAAGATAAGTGTCAGACTTAGTCGAGAACATAGAACTACAAAATATGCGATCTTCTTATCCTTGCGGGCTTGTCGGATTATTGACCACAGCTGGCTCCGTTTCTCGCACAGAAAGATCTTTGAACAAGAGATTTCTTTGCTT